GATATACAATTGAATGAGTCACTTCCTTGTTGAACTTATCACATCATGCCACTTAAACCGATGTTGTAGCATCACTAATGTTGAAATTATCAAATAGGCACTTGAAAAAAACATAATGTGAAACATGTCTTGAAAATATACACGAGAATGCAAAATTAAGGGGGTATTTGATTAGCAGTTTTTAAATTTATAAAACACTTCAAAGTATGTTTGGCATATTTTTGAGAACAATATTAAATTTATAGCATAAAACTTAAAACATTTTTTACCTTTTGATTATTTTTAGTGAAAACGTTGGAAAATTCAAAACACAGCAAATAAAATTCAATTCCTCCTTCCCATACCAAATTAAACCACCCAAATAACTCTTAATACTCCATCCTCAATCATATTCCAACATGTTTTCCATTTATTTATTTATTATTATTCTTTTTTGAGAAATAGTTTTCCATGATAAATTAAATACATGTTTTACCATCTTAAAATAAACCTTCAAAATTTAAAACTGAAACGTAAACTAATTTATCCTATAATTTTGGAAAGAACAATGCTATTTATAGTCGCTCACCTCAGTAGTCGCCCTACGTGACATTCTACATAGCTATTTGTGATTTGATATATTAATATGATAGTTTTTTCTTACCACATGTATCAAATCACTAATCGTCACATGTATGTTATATAGGATGGCTGCGATAATAAATGACAGTAAATAACATTACTCTTTTGAAAATCCATGCTTTCTTTTTTCCCAAACTTTAACCTGCCTCACCAAAACATGTTGACCGTGTCACATCTATGTCCAACGTAATTTACGCTTCAATAACAGAAGAATTCAAACGTTAATCCGTCTTTTTATAATTCCATTGGTTGCGTTGCGTTTACGTTTTTCAAACCAATAAATTTATAACCAAACCGGCCTAACATATTTATTTTTAAACAACTAACGGGCCCCACAACATGTGCATCCACAACAACATATATCTTTGATTAATCAACACATGCAACTTTTTGCATGTTCTCGACTCTCGAGAACATGACTTTCTTGTTTCAATATAAAAAAACAAAAGTAAAATCCTAAAAATAAATTATAAGAAAAAGGGGTTTCTCCGCGTAGACAGCTTAGTTACAGCAAGTTTCTTGAATAATATGAATGATCTTCATATCTTGCTGGCACATAGGATTCCAATTCAAGAAACTCATCACATGAATAAATGAAAAACAGACAGACCGACAATTATCTCTGTGATCAACTTCGACCAAATGTTCGAGCATGTCACGTTAAAACAATTTCGGTGGAACGAAGGACATGTAAATTCTACTCTTCAATTTCCCCACTACAAGATTACAACTATCTTTCTTTTTTAATATTACTCATCTCACAAGATAAGTCATGTTTCGTGCAAATTTGTAATGCAATTCGACTAGAACGAAATAGTGTAATAAATAAGATTTTAATTTCTTGACCAACACTTTCCAAACTCCATAAAAAGGTCAATGAAATCATCAACTGCCAGCATTGAATATTCAAACTACCAATAAACAATGCAAGAGAGTTTGCTACAAATATCTCTTTTCATTTCGGATGTGAAACCATCTTGATCACAAGTTCTAATTCAATCTCTCATAAAAGAATCCAATAAAATAAAAGAAACAACCCTGACAACTCAAGTTTTCTTACAATAGAATGATTTACAAGAAAGAAAGAAAGAAATTGAGAAATGGAAAAGAATAAATTAAATACAATTTGCAACATCATTTAATGATTCAAAAACGATCTGAACCCCTGATTAACCTCTATGGCTTCTTTCTTGCAAATGTAAATTCCTTTTGATTGTCATCGGCAATCCATTGAACTAAATGAATCTCCAAATCCCGAAGGTTTTGCTGGTATGCTCGAATGTGTTTGACTGTACGAGAAATCATCCAACATTGTGGAAGTACCTTCATCGGATTGCCATCTTAGAAGGGCTTGTGGAAGGCTCAAATGAAGATCAATTCCATTACCTTCCTCGTTATCATGGTCCGAAGGTTTCCATTGCTCGACAAGCGGAACTAATACATTAACGGCATGTCCCATGTCTGGTCGCTGGAATGGCTCACGGCCAGTGCAGTGTCCTGCCAACTCAGCAACCTTGCAAATGCTCTCGTAAGTTTCATCATCAGGATCAAGAGTCGAATCAATAGCCTTTCGAAGATTGTCTCTGTTGATAAGGACCCTGCGGAACCATGTGACCAAATGAGACCTTTCATCTGGCACGCTATCATCCAGAGCTTTCCTACCAGTGATAATCTCCATTAGAACAACTCCAAATGCATAGACATCGACTTTCGTTGTTACTCGTCCCGTAGCTGTTGCAAGAACAAGAGGATAACAGTCATAAATAGAAAGCAAAAATGCAAAATTCTATACAACATTGTTCCATTTCTTTTGAGATGATGGAATTCAAGAATCAGCACGCTAACTCAACTACAGAAATTCAGAGACCTACAATATACAACCTTCGATTTATTTGTGTGACTGCGCATATTTAGAACGTAAAAATGTAAAAATCAGTCTCATAGCAGTTCTAAAATTGAAATCTAATGAACAAGAGAATCAAATTGTGCATCGTTAAACATAGTTGCAACTATGCTAATCAGACAGGCATTGATATCGTGAAATTCTAGACCACAGAAAATTTATGATATCTAAAGATTAAATAATGTAATAAAGAGCTGCATAGGCATACTTACCGGCATACTCAGGAGCAAGGTAACCAAATGTCCCGGCCAACCGTGTCTCAACGGAATAATTTCCATTGGGGGCATTTCTAACTAATCCAAAATCAGCAACCTTAGCTCTCATGTCATCTCCAAGAAGTATATTCGAGGGTTTCAAATCTCTATGGATGAAACTTTGTTGGGCCAAACTGTGAAGATATTCGACTCCCCGACCAACATCCAATGCTATTGTTACCCTTTGTTTCCACGTAAGTGGTTGACAGCCGTGTTCCTGCCACTCGAACAAATGCTGGCTCAAAGTTCCCTGTGGCATGTACTCGTATACCAAGAGCCTTTCATTGCCATTAATACAGTAGCCTAAAAGAGCAACTAAATGCCTATGTCTAACTTTAGTAAGGACTGCAATTTCTGCTTGGAACTCATTCATTCCTTTAGTACCCATTGGTCCAGATTCCATTCTCTTTACTGCAATTTTAGTCCCATCATGCATTTCGCCTTTGTAAACAACTCCGAAACCTCCCCTACCCAATACATTCGCTTCGCTGAAATTGTCAGTAACTTCTTGAAGAACTCGTATCGAGATAACAACATTTCCACCTTCAAAAACGGGAATTTCTCTATGATCACTGCTGCCCTGGCTCTGTAACTCACTTGGCGCTTCACCATAACCATTCACACCGTTTGTAACACTACTCTTCGTCGTTACTTTTCCTTGCTCGGAACCCTCAATTTTCCCGAATCTCTTAAGGCGTTTTCTTACGTAGCATTTGTAAGACACAAACAACAAAACACCAACAAAAACTACAACAGCCACAACGACACCAATAATCACACCTGCAGGAACTGCAGAGCCCTTTTTACTCCCAGATGGGGTTTCACTAGGCGAACCAGATCCCGGTCCTGATGGCCCACCCTCTCCTTCCCCACCAGTACTCACATTCTTACCAAGAAACAAATTACCATCATGAATAAATTTCACAGTTGCAGGAAAAACTGGTATTGGACCAGACAAATTATTATTAGACACATCAAGAGTTTGAAGCTGAGGCAAACTAGTCAAGACATTCGGGATCGAGCCAGTAAGATTATTATCATTCAAAATCAAGTTCCTCAGAGAAGTTAGATTGCTAAAAGCAGGGGAAATAGTACCAGAAAACTTTTGCTTTCCAAGGTTTACGCCGTTCACATTTATCTTCTGTGAATCGCAAGTGATGAATTTCCAATCTTGACAGGCATCATTCCCTTTCCAAGAATCAGCCAAGGAAAAGGGATATCCCATAGCACCAGCGACATCAAGAAGTGCAGTGACTTGTCGATCACAAGGCCCTGCAGTGTCCTTACAAAAGCTATTAGTAGTCCCAAGTGTAACCTGAACCCCTTCGCGAAACTTAGGAATAGGCCCCTGAAAATTATTGTTCTGCAATGTAATGTTCACAAGTTTTGGTAGGCTAACCAAAGAAGCCGGAACCACACCGGTGAACTGATTTTCCCTCAACTGCAAATCAAACAGATTTGTACACTTCGACAAATCCGGGATCCGACCGGTAAATGCATTATCATGTAACCAAACCTGTGACAACTGAGTCATAGAAGATAAAACATCAATAGTTCCAGACAATCCCAGATTCTGATCATTTAGCCAAAGATTCTGTATATCCGATCCACCAAAAGATGCCGGCAAAGATCCAGTCAAATTATTGTAAGATAATCTCAAGCTTTGAAAATTTGAAAATGCAGAGAAAAAATCAGGGATCACGCCAGTGAGGCTAGCATTACTAGCATAAAACCAGACAAGTTTTGTACTGTCAGTCAAATGAACTGGGATCTCCCATGGGCGGAGATTTTTATTGTCATTTAGCGTGAAATACTGAAGATTTGTAAGGCCCATAAGGAAATTTGACGGGATTGAATCGAAATTGTTGCTATCTAGATGGATTTCTTCAAGAGAAGACATATTAGAAAATGAAGGTAATGTCCCAGAAAGTGAGTTTCTTTGGAGGGAGATAGATTTGAGCTGAGAAAGTTGATTGAGTTCAGAAGGGAGGGTGCCTGAGAGGGATTTTGAAATAAGATTAATGGAAGTGACGAAAGACTTGGTGGTATCGCAGTTGACATTGGTCCAGTCACAGAAGTGTGCGGTAGATGACCAGCCCGATGGGGTGGGGGACAATAAGGAGCGGAGATTCGACATGACGTCGGCGTCATCGGCTGAGGAGAAGGAGAAGAATACAAGATGGAGGAAGAAGAAAGTAGTTGCGGCGGCCATTTTGGGTTTCTTAGGAGGCTGAAGGTGAATATATTGAGACAGAGCTGGCCACCTGGATGTTTTTTATTGGGCAATGTAGTTCATGTTTTTCATTTTTTTAGCCCGCGAAACGTCAAGGAAAAAGGATTTTTTTTTTTAATTGTAAAATTAATAGAGTTTGTTCGATAGTGATTATAAAAATTGGTTTTTAATCGATAGAGATAAAAATGGGTTCCACATGTGAGCGAATAAGTAAAAAATGATTATTGAAATTGAAAGATAACGATAAAAAATTAATTTTTTGGGTGAAAAATTATCATCGAACGGGGGCAAGGACTTTAGGTTAAATTCTTTAGATATCAAATCATTTTATCTTTTAACTAATCATTTTGAACTTTTGATAAATGTACCCACTTTGATAATTTGTATGAACTCATTTGAACTTTGTTTCTTTCACACTGATGATGATTAGAAAATCGGGTAATTACAATTCATTTATCCGGGTTCGATCGATTGTTGGCTCGTTACGGGAAACAATATTCATGGTTCCAAGGACTAATCATTTTCGCGTTGGGAAAGATTTTAGACAGTGGAGTTGAGGGTGCGGGTGAAATGTGGGGAAACTAATCCCTTGTGGATCCATTCTTGATTTTGAACAAATCTGGGGAAAATTAATTGAGATTTAATTGTAAAATGTCAACATTATTAGGAGTAGAAACATAAACATCGTATATTCAATATATTTTTTTATTGTATCCTTGCAAAATGATGTCTCGATTGAGCTTCTAGATAAATCGAATGACTTTTTTTGAGTTTGTTAAAATCTGATAACATTAACAGAATTCAAAATTGAAATTTTGTATAGTTCATTTACAAATTACAATAATTTAGAGTACATCACTTTTTTTATATAGAAAAATGAGGAAAGCATAAGAGAAATTAGAAAACAATTTAACAAAATTTTGAGATTTTTTATTTCTTATTACATATTAGAAAAACAATGTGAGCCAAATAATTTGTCATCTATCTAAGAATTTAAAGTGCAAATCATCTAGAATTTTCCATAAATATAATTATTTGATTGTTTATATATAGACTTTTTCAAACACGAACTCTAATGAGAATTCTGACCTCATTTAATTTATATACATTTTTCAAAAATTGAACTGTAATTAAAATATAGTTTTCACAAGACTTAACAAATAATCTGTGTTCTTTAAATTTGGATAGGTATAAATAAATAAATTTTAATAAGTTTATAGCGCATTAAAAGTACAGAAAAAGAAAACTTCATTTTCCATTTCTCCAATATTGTAAAAACTAAAAACATATAACAATTTCCAATTATCATTTTCTAATAAGTTTTGACCAAAAATCATTGTTAATTGTTCGATATAGTTATTCTTTTGCAGCTAAATTAATTTATTATTTATTTTAATTTTGGAATCATTTTGCAAATTATAATTTTTTCAAGAAAGCATGCAAACCTAATGATTTGCTGATTCATTCTACTAAATGAGGAGTAAGACTTGATACTGCAACCGGCTTATTGATAATCAATCATAAATATTCATAAATAATATCGATCATGAAACAAGTGGACGTCTTTCTCATCACTCTTCTTTTTTTTAATCTATTTATTTATTTTCTTCTAATATGATAAAGAGAATTATATTTCTAATTGTATAATATCGATTATTCATAAACTAAGTAAATTGAACCAATATAATAAATCATGTTATGCTATTTTTCTTTAAAATATTTATCTTAGTTGGTCGCATATTTTATGGTGGACGAAGACTGAATTACATCCAAACTTTACTGAAAAATGATTTGTTGGCTCTCCTCTTCCTGAAGACTTGTTTCATATTTCGTATATCGATAATGATATATTGACGTGTTATCTTCTTTGACTCAGTTGTCACTAGGGATGTCAATTGGGCCGAGCCGGCTCGCGGCTCGTCGACTAGGCTCGTAGACTGTTCGGGCTCATCAAATGACGAGCTCGAGCTCCAGCCGAGCGGGGGGTCCCGTCCAACGAGCCGAGCCCCTCGGCTCGTCGAGCTCGCGAACCCACGAGCCGGCTTGTCCAAAAATGTGGGAAAAAATAAAATTTTATCAATAAAATTTGAAAAATTTGCTAAAAAAAAAAAAAAAAAAAAAAAAAAAACAACACACATTCACGAGCTCGTGGCTCGGCTCGACCCACTGCCATCCCTAGTTGTCACTAGTTTAATTACATGCTAATGCTTCCACCGTCCGATCCCAAATTTATCAAATTGCACAAATATGTTGTAAAGGGATAATCAGTTCACCAAAACTTGACAATATTACTGTTTCGCGCGGGTTAGTCGCTAACAATTAAAAAGGGATTAGACGATTGTGTAAGAAAAAAATCTCTTGAGACAAAATTCCAAAAAGGGGTATTTTTATTGGCGATAACTTTACAATTGAAAAAATAAAACAGAATGCTTCCAAGGAGCGCAAGCACACGAGTTACTGACAAGAAGTGTTTAAATCTAAACTAAGAAATTGAAAGTTACATATTCTTTGTTTGAGAGTGTTTGATTTCGGGGTCCTTTACTCTATGTCTTTTCTTCCTTTTATACTCCCTGAATGATCTCTTCATTCTCAACCGCTTAAAAACTGCTTGATTACTCTATAACTGCCCACTTTCTTCATAGTGGCCAACTTGTCATGGAACTACCTTCTCTAACTGCTGCCATTACTTTTTGTTGTTTAATCGTTTTCAATTGAATTCCTTGAATCGTGGAACGTGATAGGGCTACTCAATAACTGCTTCATTAACCGCACTTTTTGGTAACCATAACATCTTATGTTTGCTAAGATCCCGGGCGACTCGAAGGTTTGGGCAAGAACAGAGTCACAGCTCTGGGCGACTGCATGGCAATCCATTCGCCCAAATCTTGGGCGACTTGCAAATTTGGACGATGGTATTACCGCGCTCATGGGCTTCCCTATTTGGGCCTTTATCCTGAATTGCCTGATTGGGCTGTTCTTTGGGCTATCTGATTTGGGGATCCTCCAATTGGGCTTCATTCCTTGAGCTATTCGATTTGGGCTGAATTTTTTGTGTGTCAACAATTACCCCCCAATATGGCAGAATTAATACCAATTATTAATTTTTCACATATTCACTTTGTGTTTCCCAACAACATTCGAAATTCCCAAGAATTTCAATCATTGTTTTATTCCATAACCTGAAAAGGTGCGACATTTACAAACCCTTATAACCCCTAAATACACGCCATTTCGATGCACCACTAAATCACGCCTTATTGTTTCGCGCTTCTCTCTCGCAGTTTTACTATTCATCTTCTTGCTTCTCTGCTACGTTTCTTAAGCAAATTTCGACAAACTCTATTTCGTTCCTAATGGCTGCTTCACAATCCCAGTCTGGTGACTCCTTCAGTTTCGAAGACTTCCAGAAACTCCTCACTCGGCCATATATAACTCCGAACTTCCTTGCACCAGCCAATGTCGAACTCAATGAGTTCTATCTAGGTCCTTCATTCAACAACGCCGAGACCATCGAACAAGCGACGGTCGGTCAGCTGTTCCCTTGTACTCAAGGCCCTCCGTTTCTAAACTCTTTGCTGCTAAAGCTGTTTCGCGAAAGAGGTATTCGCACTTGGCCTAAATCTGATGTCGTTTTCCGTAGATGCCATGCTCGCCTTGTGGACCATGATCCTACTAAGGCAATTTTTGATAGTGTTAGGATTTCTGATTTGTTAGAAATCTCTCTTCAACCCCTTATTTTTGACCCAACACTTTTTCCAATCGCTTTAAGTTTTTGGTCTTGTGAGTATAATACTTTTATTTTCCCTCTTGGTCCCATGTCCATTACCTTAAGGGATGTTGGGGTCCTAGTAAATCTGCCACTTTTGGGTGATACCATTTTCCCTGGTATTTTGATTTCTAGTGTCGCCCCAAAATTTGATAAAAAACTCACCAAATCTTATTCAAGCCTGCAAACCTGTCATAACCACTCGAGCGCTGAGTCTTCCCATGCTGAGCGTGTGGCCTTTCTTCAGATTTGGCTTTGTAAATACATTTTGTGTGTGCCAAGCATGAAGCCCTCCATGAGCTATTTACCCATAGCGCACGAATTGGCGCGTGGTAGGCCTCTAAATTTGTGTTCTTTCTTTTTAGCTGTCCTCTATAAGGCATGGCTTCTCTTCAATCCCAATTGAAGAATGGTGCATCTCCCACTGACAGTGGGCCTCTTTAGTTCACTCAAATGTGGTTGAGAGCCTATTTTCCATCGCTTGGTGCTCCATCCTTTTCCAGTCCTTCTGCTAGCCGCTATGGGTTAGCCATTGATCCCCTGACTCTTGTAAATATGTCCAGAAGGGACATTTTTTCATTCTTTTATACTTTGGATTCAATCCCTTCCTTCTTTCCTTTTCCTCCAATTTTGACTCCAGATTATGTGCAACCTCCATCCACTCTGAATAGTGTGAGCACCTTTCTATTCGTTTGGATTCAATTTTTGATCGGGAGGGAGTTGTTCCATGATATTTTGACTGGGACCAATGCCAAAGCTGGGGTTGAAATATACGCTCCCCAATTTTTTGCTCGCCAACTTGGTTTTGGCCAAACTTGGGCCGTTCCCCCTTGCTATTCAAAAAATTTAATAGACCGCTTTCACACCATTAATAAGGCAGAGGTAGAAGCTATAGATGCTCGCAATATTCTTTTGACGAGCAGCTTCTCATTAGCCCCTTTCAATTCTAGCCGTGCCATCCATCCCCTTTTTGAACAACTCTGGCCGTCAGTGAAGCGCAGATTGTTTGCGACTGATGTCAATCGTGCTTTCCATTCACTGGACCAGCCAAACATTTCTTCCACCTTTCCTGTTTTGGTCACTTCTGTGTCCATTAGGAGTCCCACTTCCCCTGCTCGTGCTAAACAGTCTGCTCGTCCATCGACTTCTCTTCCTGCCAAGCCCACTGCAGCTAAAAGTACCCCAAGCCGCAAACAGCCAACCTCAGCATCTCCCATTTTGGAGGATGATGATGACA